GTAGTAGTAGTAGCAGTAGTAGTAGTAGTAGTAGTAGTAGTAGTAGTAGTAGTAGTAGTAGTGGTAGTGGTAGTGGTAGTAGTAGTGGTGGTAGTAGTAGTGGTAGGAGTAGTAGTAGTAGTAGTAGTAGTAGTAGTAGTAGTAGTAGTAGTAATAGTAGTAGTAGTAGTAGTAGTAGTAGTAGTAATAGTAGTAGTAGTAGTAGTAGTAGTAGATGTTGTTGTAGCAAGACGCCCAAGATGGTCTCCACACGGCCGTAGCGCCAAGAAACCGCGGGGAGCCTCAGGAGGCCCTCCAAGAGGCTGAACAAGCAAAAACCTCCAAGGCATTCGTCACCCCAGGGCCTCCTGGAACGCCCCGGCGCCCAATGAATTGGCGAGCTAAAAACGTGCGCCGAGCCAAAGCGGGAGCGCAACTTCGAGGAAATTTCGCTCGGCGCCCAAGCGAGAAGGTCATGTCATTCACTTCGAGCGGGGGGGGAGGGGGGTGTGCCGCGCCCAATTCTTGCCATGCACTTTTGCGGGGTGGACGGCAAGAACAGCGATGTGGGCAGGGAAAATCAGCATGGCATTGCTTCTGACAAGTAAGGTGGCCCCTCCCGCCTTGGGGTTGCCCCAGAAGTCCGCGCGCGATGTGCGCCGCGCCCCACTCCTGCCACGCATTTCGCATCGTCGACGACAAGACAGGCCATGATGAAAGGAAAAACGGCAACTCTGCATTGTTTTTTACAGTCAGGATGGGAGGGCTCGAAGCCCGCATGGACGTCTGCGCGCGATGCGCGCCGCGCCCCATTCCTGCCACATATTTCGCACCGTCGGCGACAAGGCAGGCCATGCTGAGAGGAAAAAACGGATACTTTGTACTGATTTTTTATAGTCAGGCTGGGCGGGCCCGGATTGACGGCCGCGCGCGATGTGCGCCGCGTCCCATATGTCCACCGCGCCCCAGTGTTGCTACATATTTCGCACCGTCGGCGACAAGGCAGGCCATGCTGAGAGGAGAGAACGAAAACTTCGCATTGATTTTTTACAATCAGGATGGGCGGGCCCAGATTGAATGCCGCGCGCGATGTGCGCCGCGCCCCATTCCTGCCACGTTTTTCGCATCGTCGACGACAAGAAAGACGATGTTGAGAAGAAGAACGGCAACCTTGTATTGAGTTTTTTACAGTCCGGATGGGAGGTCCCGGATCGGGTTGCTATCGGCCGGAATACGAGGTAGGTGAGGGTATATAATAATAAGGAACAAGGATGTGTGTGTGGGGGATGTGTGGGGGGGGTGGGGGGGCGGTGGGGGTGGGGGGGCGGGGGTGTGCCGCTGGGCATGCACCTCGCTTGAAAGGGATCAGGTTAGTGCGTACCGCTCACAGGTGTGAATTCGATGCCCCCTCGTGGCCAGGTGTGTAATTTCTGGCTTGGCAAATCGTTGGGCTTCAAGAGGTACGACTGCATGAGGGGCGTGGCGGCGTCACTGCGCATCCTGCAGCTATGAAGGCCCACTCGACACATGGTTTGTCTGTCTTGAGGGGGGGTCTGTTTTGCCGTCCTGCGGGTTGTATGCCACTGAGACCGCCGCTCAGATCGGCGAAGAGTGCCCTTGTTGTAGAGGGTCGTGCCGAAGGCAGGCCCTCCCTTGGCCCCAACAAAGCAGGTGCAGTGTCCTGCCGAACTTGGCCTGACTGGAACCCCCAAAAATTGGAATGCACTTCTCCTCGCTGTGATGTTGGTGGCCGAGTCCTGGCCTGACCAGGATAGCTCACCAGGTCCAGACCAGAGGTCCTCCTCCTGCTCCTCCTCCTCCTCCCCGTCCCCATCATCATCATCATCATCATCATCATCATCATCATCATCATCATCATCATCATCATCATCATCATCATCATCATCATCATCATCAGCATCATCATCCGTATTTGTCATCGGCTCTCTCCGACGAGCCTGACTGATCGTCCTTTCTGCAGCCAGCATAGGTGCTGAGGCCCCTCCCGTGAATGCATCCCCCGGTCCCGCATACCGCGAGCCCCCGTGTAGTCGGGCCGCGGGGGTAGGGTGGGACAGCCTGATGGGGGGCCTCCGCCTGGTGTTGCTCGGCATGTCTTGTGTGGCTGTTGTTTGGAAAGATGCTCGGGTCGGGATCGTGCTCCCGCCGAGGGCCTTTGGCCCCTAGCCTTGCGGGACGAGACGTGGCTCGGGCCATGTTCGAAGTAGGTTCAAGACGACCCCTGCACCTCTGTTGCTAAGTTTGGCCCGCACCAGGGGCGAGGCCTGGCGCCGCCCTGGCGTTCCTTACACCAGGGGTGGCTTTGCCTCGTCGTCCTGGCGTCGCCATGTGACTGTTCGTGCGCTGCTCGCGTACGGTCCGCGGGGCTTTGTGGTTCCTGCTGGCCCTCTCGGTCTTTGGGGTGTCCGTCCGTCCACGTCGGCCACCGCCTTGGTTTTTTTGTTGTGCCAGAGAAGCTGGCCCCTTCCCTGGTGTCACTCTCCAGGGGACGGCGCCGAGTTAAACACAAAATCCTCGTCCTCCTCCTCCTCCTCCTCCTCCTCCTCCTCCTCCTCCTGCTCTTGCTATTGCTCCTCCACCTCCTCCTCCTCCTCCTCCTCCTCCTCCTGCTCTTGCTCCTGCTCTTCCTCTTGCTCGCCCCGCTTCTGCGCTCGAGCCCCACCCCACCCCAAAAACATGGTCCGCCTCTGGCGCGCCCTTCCCCTCTCGCCGGCCCCCCGCAGGGCCTCGGGCTGCCCGCCAGCGTGCTGGGCCGCAGGCCCCGCGGCGGCGCGCGCTGGCGGCGTCGTCCTCGCGCTCGTCGTCGGTCCTCGTCGCCGATGTTGTCAGGTTTGCGAGTTGGCCTTTCGTCGATTCGGTGTCCTCCTCCTCCTCCTCCTCCTCCTCCTCCTCCTCCTCCTCCTCCTCCTCCTCCTCCTTCGGCTCCCTCTTCCTCTCTTCCATCCTCCTCATCATCCTCATCCTCAGTCCCCCTCCTCCTCCTCCGGCTCCGCCTCCCTCCACCGCCTCCTCCCTCCTCCGCCGCATCTTCGGTTTCCATCCCTGTCCTCCTGCACAGTCTCTCCCTCCTTCCTCCTGGGCTAACTAAGTCGCGGCGGCGGCGAGAGCGAGAGGCCCATCGCCCCAGCTTTTCTGTGAGGAGGAGGAGGAGGAGGAGGAGGAGGAGGAGGAGGAGGAGGGGGAGGAGGAGGAGGAGGAGGAGGAGGAGGAGTGAAAACGCCCCCCCCCGTGTCATGCGTGGTTAATGAGGGGCGCCCCCCCCCCCCCCCCGCCCTTGACAGCTGAGCACAGGGTCTCCTTCGCCTCGGCGGCCCTCCCGTTTCCTCGCCGCGTGTTTCGCCTCTTCCTCCCCCCCCCCCTCCTCCCGCGGCAGAAGTCCGTCACCGCGTGCGCCACGCGCCTCCATTTGGGCGCTTTCCCTCCTCTGTTCCTTTGTCGTCGTGCCGTTTGTCATCCTCGCCGCCATCGCGCGTTTTCGTCGTCGTCTTCGTTGGCGTCGCCGTCGCCGTCGTCTTCATCGTCGTCGTCGGTGGCCGCCTCGTTCTTTTCTGCCTAGACCTCGTGCCTCTTCGCGGGCGCGCGCGAGGCCAACCTAGCATCCTAGATTCTTCCCTTCTCCCAGCTCCGCCTCCTCATCCTCCTCCTTTTTTCTCCCCCTCCTCCTCCATCTCCTCCTCCTCCATCTTCTCCTCCTCCTCCTCCTCCTCCTCCTCCTCCTCCGCCTCCTCCTCCTCCTCGTCCTCCTCCTCCTCCGCCTCCTCCTCCTCCTCATCCTCCTCCTCTCCTCCCCACTGCCCCAGGCCAACCTAGCAACCTTTTCCCCCTCCTCATCCTCCCTTCTCCTAGCTCCGCGTAGGAGTGGCAGTTCGCCGGGGTGACCTTTGGTGTGGTCCCCCCCCGCCCTGGCGTGGACGCTTGGCGTTGGTCCTCCCGCGGCCCCTTGAAGCCGCGCATCAAAGGCCCGCCACTCTTGACCAGGGCCATTCTTGCGTGTCGCCGATCCTCCATCTCGTTCCCTGCCTCCTCCCCCCCCCCCCGCTTCCTCCTTCGCGTCCTCCGTCCTCCCCCCTCCTCCCTTGCCCTCCCCTCC